GTATAAACAAAAATTATAGAGATCGATATCGCAAACAACTTTTAGTTCAACAATTTTCATAAAAATCAGAATTTTGCACATTTTGTCAAATTTTTAGAATACGGACCATTTCAGGAAATTTTGACATAAAGCAAAAATTATAGATAATAATATTAGAAGTAACTTTTATTTGAACAATTTTCTTCTCCAAACATAAATAACAGATATATTCTATAAAATAAAAAAAGGCCTCCCATAAAGTACCCCCCAGATGTTCCGACTTTGTCCAAAATCTAATCATTTCACGTCAGGCCGAAATAAAACTTAAGTTTAAAATTTATTGTTTTTTTCTTTATCCGTTTTTGAGTTTTCTTCAAAATTCGAAATTTACACATTTTCTCAAATATCTCGAATATCTCCACACTTATCGGAGAAAGCAGAAAATATAGTACAAAATATTTTGCCGCAAAAATCTAGGGAAATACCAATACCCGAAGTAATACCATTAATTACAATTTTGTAGATTTTTTTTATAGAAATACGAGTAATTACTCTTATTGTGTTTAATACCAATATAAATATAATATTTATAGGTCTTGATTATTTATCGGGTGTAGAAAAAGCGTATGCAACTCTCATGTAATGGTTATTAAAACACTCGCATAAACCATACGAAACTCGCCTTTGGCTCGTTTCGTATCCCAGTTAATGCTCGTGTATTAATAACCATCATTACATGATCGTTGCATAATATACTATTATAAATCTTGCAAAAAATTAATATCTAATATTTACGCCAGCCGGGAACATTTGTGATACCAATTTATTAGAAGCCAGAGAAAGCTCTTCTAGTTCTTGTATTGCATAAAAGTTCCAGTCCGCAGACGTATATTTAACTCCGCTTCATACTAATACGAATAAGGTCGGATAAAACCTTCCACTGCTTTCAAAACGCCGCACCGCTGTGCCGGTCGGAGTTGGGGGGTGTTAGGTTTATTTTCGTTACGGAATTTCTGGATTCGGTCGGATTCGTGATTATTTGAAAATAACTGATTAATGGAAAATAATCGATTTCTTGATTTATTGAATAATCGAAAACGATCCATAAAGCACCATCATAAATACCGTGATTTATTTTTATTAATTATTACCTGAATTGAAAAATTCTGCAGAAATAGGTTATCGCAAATTAGTTGCTGTAATAAATTATTTGTTGTTAAATTTAATCAATCATTACAAAAAGTTAGTACAAATAAAAATACTATAGTATGTAACAGCCAAACGGAATAAAATCAGTAAGTAAAATGACATCCTGAACGTGAAAATTTCACCCCTACCTTCAACCCCCTTCGAGTGACAGTTGCAACTCCCAAATTTGTAAATAGGAAATAGGGACTTGCGATACCTCATTTGAAAGGTCTTTTCATTATCTATTAAAAATGCTGAGGTTTTCAAATTTATTTCAAAAATTAACGATAAAAAAGTAAATTTGTCTGATCCGCGAAATTCGCTACAACATCCTAAACAATTAATAACTAATAGAGTTTCGTTCTTGATAATAAAAAATCAAGTAAAAACAATTTAAATGGCCTTTTTCGACAGTTTTAACAAAATTATCAGCATTCTTCATAGTTGTAATTCTTAATCCTACTATATTAAAGTGCCAATGTCTGTCTGTGCCGCGATCTCGGGGTAGAGAAAGCCAAAATCTTATCGGACTCAGATATAAGCTAGGGACACGTAGAGAAGCAAAACGACACCAAAATCATGGTACTTACTTTTGTGGTTCTCAAAATATAAAATTGGGTTTAAAATTTAAATAAACGAAATTGCCTAGATGTCCAAGATTACAAATTACGGCCTACTATTTGGATGAAAATTATGATATATTTAATGACATTATATAATTATATACATTTTTTTAAACTTCTTAAACTTTTAATTTGCAAAAATTTACTATTTGCAAATCTTCTCAAAATTTGAAGCGTTGAAGAAGCTCGGTCCCCCAGTTCTTTCTTTTAGAAAATCTTAGCAACTTGCTGCGTGATTGTAACCGCCTAACATTAATTGCTGTCAGTGCTGTACGTGTCATTTTAATTTATTAACTACAGATCAGAAACATAATTTATTTAACAGAAATGCATAAAATAACAATTTTACAAATGATTGGTTATGGAGATAAAACACGACACAGATCGAAGTTGTTCGCCTCTTTCAAGAAAAATTCCTAATTTGACGCATATTTCTCAGGGGTCAATCAGTAAAATTGCCTTCCACTGCGACCCACATGGATCTATTCTGGCTACTTTTACACTTTACGGCCTTACTAATCATCAAAATTGGCTACTGGTGTTATAAAAATCCTCACTGGATGAGAGAAGATTATGCACAATACCCTGAAAAGGTTAATATTTGAGCACTACACTACTTAAAAATAATATTGTGACAACTTTGACAAATTTATATCCTGTTCAAGCAAACCTACGAGTTCTAGCGAATCTGATATGGTTCCAGCAGGATGGGCGCCACCACATTCCCAAAACAATGTCTGGCAGTACCTCTACCAAATATTTCCAAATCGGTGGATAGGGAGGCGAGGATTATTAGAATGGCCAGCACGATGACCTGATCTTACGCCATTAGACTTTTTTCTATGAGGATATGTAAAAAATATGCTATATCAAATTAAACCACGCGATTTAACTGATTTAATAAGAAGAATAACGTTTGCGATTACGTCCGTCACCCATTAAATGTTGATTAACGTTTAAAGACAATTTTATTTAGGATACTGCCAGGACGTTCGAAGCATGAATTTTGAACATATCCTTCATTAAGATTGATGTTTTTGAAGGAAACTCTATTTGTATATAATTTATTTTTTTTACTGTTAATTTTTGCAATAAATTTGAAAACTATTGTATTTTGGAATAGAGAAGCCATCACAAGCCCCTATGTACCTCCTATTTACAAATTTAGGGGGTGTAACTGTCCTTCGAAGGGCGTTGAAGGTTGAAGGTAGGGGTCAAATTTTCACGTTTCTAAAATTGATGTGTCGGTATTTTTTCTAAATATGCACAGTAATTGAGCTACTAAATGTATTATATTTTGTCCGTTACACGCTGTATACAAATTATGTTTTGATAATTTTACTATAATTTAAATAAAAATTTCTGGCATCAATAGAAAACTAATTGAAATCGTTCATTTTCAGTCACGTGTATGAGCTAATCCTATCAGCTCTGACTTACACTGATACGTTCCCTATTGGTGTTATCACTTAAGTCAAGTTTGCACCAAACAAACCATTATGTATGAACTATTACGTGTTTTTTTTATTCCGCTAAATGTTAAAACTCAAAATTGAACGTTTTATCTAATAACTATTTTAATAATTATTAATTAAAATGGTTCACAGTAGAGACAGTAATTCATGACTTTTTACCCATTTTCTCATTTTGTTATCAATCAATATTTAATACGAACGTTAATCTGGTGTACCCCATATGTAAACCACATTTAATAATATGCCATTTCTAAAACGTAAAACTGTTGACACTTTAAAATTTATTTATTTTTAACCGACTTCAAAAAAGAAGGAGGTTCTTAATTCGTCGGTATATTTTTTTTATGTATGTTCAGCGATAAATTTGGTCAAAATCTAAAAATTGGGTCCATGAGAAAATCCTCAAACTCTTAATTTTTTATGTATATTTAGCGATAATTCTTTACCACCTTCTCCGATTTCTATGATTCCTTTTTTGTTAATGAGGGAGTACCTCAGGGGTGGTCCCATATTTGGTTAAGATGTGGTGATGACATCTGCACGATTTTGAAGTCGGTTATTTTAAATTACTTTTAATACTTGTTAAATGCCTAGATTTAGTAAAATTAATAATTAAAATATTGATAATTTAATCGAAGAAAACACACTAATAAATGCCGTTAACAGAAAAAAATATATATGGAAACTATACAATTTTATGAAATTAGAAAATATTTGTTAGATACAAATGGAAGTATTTAAATAGTATTTAAGAAGGATTGGGCACTAAATATAAGAAAAAAAGATGATACCGATAATACACTTTATGGAATGTACTGTCAAGACTTTATGCATTAGTAACTAGTAAGTTACTTTTTATTAAATAAATAAGTTAAAATATGTCAAAAAATTTTCTGACCCAATATTCCTCGGCCAATGATAAATATTCATAATTTTGTTTCAAATACCTCAAGCACGTTTCTTAAGGTAACTTTCCTCAGTCTACGGCGTCTGAAAGTTACCAAGCAACGTGCTTTAGGAAAGTGAAAAAAAATTATTTCGAATTATCGCTGTCCTTGGGATATTACTACTGATTATAAAACTATGTATTTGCGATTTACATTTATATTCTTATTATTTAACTAAATTTTTGTTTGTTTTTAGATTAAATTAAATACTCCTGCTAATTCAGCTGATTTTTGATTTTTCTGCTCTATCAAAAATATTATGATTAAGCATGTGTGTCTTAAAAATGTTTAACTAAATAATAAATTAACATAAATAACTTCCATTTATAAAATGAACAATATTTATTTAAAAAAAAATTGTCGACGCATGCGCAATCCAGAGCTGCAAATACCGATACTGGAAATAAAACAATATTTGAAACGATACGTCAAGTAACGAATGTTCTGATCATGAGTACCTACCGACTTGATACGGGTACAAATTTAGTCGCTACTTCCACAGCTCTAACAATATAATAGTTGCAACCAAAAAAAAAGGCATTAAACAGATCATAACTGGCGTTAAAACCATATACAATTCTTGTAACAAGACTCTCCGATAATCTCCCATAATAATTTGGCAACTACGTAGATAACACCGCGAATGCTTCCAATTTGATATTTGTAAACAAATTTGGTCTAGTAGTTTTTCGTCGTTAAGTTTATTTGATTGACTTTTCTGTCTTTATTAACATTTGCCATTTTATTACTAGAACATATTTTCTTAAATTCACTCTTTTATTTTCTAGGAGACCAGACCGAAAACGTCTGCGTCGAAGACCGAGGAGAAGCAGCATCTCCTCGACAGCGACTACCAACCAGAAATGGCGGCGTCGATCAACGTCGAAGGCTCCGGGGACTTCGAGGATTCCATGTTCAACCGAACCATCGAACATCCCACATCGAACTTCGACACCATGGTCCATTTGCTGAAGGCGAACATCGGCACCGGCATACTGGCGATGCCGGACGCCTTCCGAAACGCCGGTTGGCTGGTCGGCTTGTTCGGAACGCTCTTCATGGGCGTGCTCTGCACCCATTGCATGCATATGCTTGTGGGGTGCGCCCACGAGCTGTGCCGGAGAACGCAAAAGCAATCGCTGAGCTTTTCGGAAGTCGTCGAGAGTTCGTTTAAGACCGGACCGTCGTTTTTGCAGAATTATTCGAATTTAGCGAAGTAAGTGGAAATAAAAATAATCGTTGTTCAAAAACTCTTCATTAAACAGTGTTTTGAACAAAAAATATTCGTATCCCACGTGATTAAATTGTTGTCATCAGTTGGCGAAAAGATAACACTAATAACTTTAGTAGTAGTATTAACCGAGGGAACTGTAAACAGTTTTGATAAAGTAAAATTCCCCCAGTCTTGAATTGAAAAGTATTAAATATAAAGTTGTCATTTTAAATAGGCAGATATTCTAAAGTATATTCTACATAAATTTCAATTGTCAACTTGAAAAAATAAATTTAAAAAATATATATTCAATTTTTACAATTCCCCGGATTTTTTTTTTTTCGTTTTTGAGAATTTTGGGGTGATGGTAAACAAAATTCGAGGTAAATGTAAACGAAATGATTCTTCTGTATTGACTCCTACATTCGAATAGGTGGGGTAATATCGAACAAATTATATTAAAATTAATTTGCATCAGTTCAAGTCGTAATTTGGTTGTTCACATTTGCCCCATGATAAAAATGAAAATTCTAAACAATAAAGCTGCCTACCTTTAATGGTATTTTTTATTTGAAGCGAAATACAGTTTTTAAATATATAGCAGGTAAATTTTTACCTACAAACATATAATAATATATCAAAATACATAATTATGTTTTCTCGAAAACGTCTATTGTTCCAGGAAAAGAATAAATGATTTTACGTTTTTTGAATTTAATTTCAGGCTGAGGAAGAATGGCTACAACCATGTCCATATATATGAAAGATTCCTCACTCTCATTAATATAAAAATCAGAGCAAACTTCATTGAGCGCTCGCAATCCCACAATAGCAATTTCGTTATCTTCTTTGTCTTTCTCTTTGACTACACAGACGTATTTGTAAATAGTCACTTTTCTAGCCCCTCCAACAAATTTAACCAGAAGAAAACCATCTGTCCTAATCTCTTCCCATTTGACTTCTTTATAATTAACAGGCTTTGGTTGAATAAATGAGGAAAGTGGGTGCATGTCGTCATCAAAGTCATCATTTGTCAAATGAATTAAGCTAGCAACACTTTCCTCAATATCTGATGAAACAGTATATTTCTTTGGTTTCTGCTTCTTTGTTTTCGATATCTTCATCTGCTTAAAATTATCGTCTTTTGTTTTCTTGGAACAGATATTTACTCGTTTTCCTTTGGTCTGCTTAACTTTCTTTTTCTCTTCGGCTTCTTTGAGCTTGTTCATTACTTCTTCCGACGTTAAAACTTCTCCATATCTGGATTGTTTTAATCATGGAATAACTTTTTTATTCTCAGTACAACCCGATATTTTTGGAGAATTTTCAACACATCCATTCAATTTCTTGGAGAATAGATTAATGATACTTTGCAGTCTCAACTCTTATGGTAGCATCCTGATTCAGGTAAATTAAAGTCACTTGTCAATATGGGTTTATCTGATTTCATCTGGTCATTTGGGCTCGTCGAGCGTCTAGATAATGCCTCAGAAATGTGCCCCAGTTGATCATGTTGGCTTGACGAGGCTCCAGGTAATTCATCAGAAATGCTTCCTAGTTCTTGATTACTGGAAGTGCTTTGGTGTTCTCTTACGCAATAAATTTGGATCAAAATACTTTTCGGAAAATTTCAGAGAATCAACTGGAAAAACTCCAGTCGTTTCGAAGCCTGAAATTCTGTTTTTGAGGGTCGTGCCTTGTTCCCAAACTTTTTTTAACAATTCTGAGAACTCAAAGTCCGAATACGCATTTATCTAGTGATTGTATCATATCTGTTATTAACACCCCATTATTAACATAACATAACATCCTATCTGTTAGATGACTTGGGAACCTAAGTAACGAAATGTTGTGTTCAAGCGCAGCATTCACTATCCGAACGCTGATATGGCTACAGTGGTCGTCGAGTAACAAAAGAGCAGTCTGGTCAGGCACATCCCGTTCTTTTCGCACTCTGTTAACATTTGGTATGATTAAGGTTATGAACCATTGATAAAAGTAGGGCTTTTCCATCTACCCATTTTTAGATGCTCCATTTATTGTACCAGGATACATATTTTCAGAAGTCCAATGGGCTTGGACAGCAGCTCCTTTAAACACAATAAATGGAGGTAAAAATGATCCATCTGCAGCAATGCATGCTAAGACGGTAGTACATTCTCTCCCTGATCCTCCTGATACCCTAGACAATGGTACCCCCTTTTCACCTGTAGCCCGAACTCTAGAAGGATCACTGTTGAAGCCGTTTTCATCAGCTTTAAATATAAAACATCATTAAAGCACCATATTAACGGACATGACAAGGCTAGTGGAAATAAATATATATAAAAAAAGGATTTTAAACTTATTTTAATAATTGTAACGACACACCCCAAACTTTGTACTAAAGAACCGTTTTTGATGTTTAAAAAAACAAGGCTTTAATGCCAAAAAAAAATTTACCAATAATAAAAAAAAACTACCTAAGAAGGCATTGATCAGTGCCGAAAGCTTTACCCACACATACACGAGTTTCATTTCTCACTAGCACTTAAAAACCCAAGAACTACAAAGAAAAAATATAAATTAAGGTGTACCAATATAATATATTGGTACTTTATTATATATTATATAATTTTTGTTCATTATATAGAGCTGCTTAATTTTATCGGTGTAGAGTTTTGTATGAATAAAATACGATAATCTTCACTAAGCTTCTTAAAAAGATTAATAGTCCAAAGTTAAAAAAAAACAATGTATATCAAAAAGTATGCATCTACTGTGCTAATCCATATTTTAGTTTGATTTCGAAATATATTTTGATCATAAAATAATAAGTTTATATCAAAGAAGGGAAGGAAGGTTGACTATAAAAACTGAATTCGGTTAGTGAACTTACAACCTAGTAATAATGTTGTTTTAGTCCTTATTTTCTATTCTAGATCAGCATAAAATAATCAAAACCCAATAATAATGTATATTACTGAGTTTAAAACAAAAAAAGGTTAATTTATATTTCTTTTCTTTTCGCAACTGATGACGTAATGAATTTTTCGAAACCAGTTTCATAATGTTCAACATTGTACTACTTGTTGCATCTTAGATCATTTTGACACTTGCTGCGATTACAAAAATATGTCAAAATTAGAAAAAAATATTGTATATTACGAAATGCAGTTTTGTATAACTCGTTCATGTTTTGGGACCTTGCTTTACTCGTCCCGCAAATATTCATTCGTTACATAAAATAACTGGTTGCATAAATAGCTAATTAAACAGTTTAATCTAATTTATTTTATAACTAATTTATTTGAACTTATTACTCCTATTTTATGTATCACATCCACTTAAATACTAATTTATATGGACACTTAACTAGATCGATCTGTTTTTTTGATTTTTACAATCATAATAAAGTTTTTTAAAGGTGACACGACATTCTTATTCTTTTACTTTTTCATTATTTGGTTTTCTTTGTTAGCATTCAGTGTTGAAAATAAATATTCTGTATTAAGTGAATTGACTTACACAATGGAACTTTTTTTTTATTACAGGACCTTAATAAACATCTTCCTTTGTATAACGCAACTGGGTTTTTGCTGCGTTTACTTCGTATTCGTTGCTGCCAATATTCACGACGTTGTAAAGCATTACTTTTTCGATATGAGTGTTCACTGGTACCTTCTTTTACTGCTTTTTCCAATGGTACTGCTCAACTGGGTGAAGAGTCTCAAATATTTGACGCCCGCCTCGCTATTTGCATCTATCGTGACAGTTAGCGGTTTAGTGATAACGTTTTTCTACATGTTCGAAGGAGGATTACCTAATACGTCAACTGTCAAAGCATTTTCGTCATGGCAACAACTTCCGTTGTATTTTGGAACTGCTATTTATGCTTTCGAAGGAATTGGAGTGGTACGTATTTAATTTTGACTTAAAGTGATATGTAATGTTTATAAAGTAAGAACTGTGGTTAATACTGATGGTTTAACATTAAAAATTTGTTTCAACTGAAGTATCTAACTCTAATATTAAAGAATTAACATTTATTGCTTTTTCAAATCACTTACCTTGATACGATAGCCTCTAGCCTCTGTAATCTCTTATAGATATTGCCTCTTGAGAACAACATGAAAAACCCTCAAGATTTTGGTGGCTGGACTGGTGTTTTGAATACTGGCATGATTGTAGTAGCGGTACTGTACACAGCAGTTGGATTTTTTGGTTACTTGAAGTATGGAGATAAAGCCATTTTAGGAAGTGTCACTTTATTGCTACCATCAGATGAATTGTAAGTTTTTTTTTATTAATATTTAATGTTTATAAATGTTTCCACTTCACGACTGGTTTGAATAATCGAACTTGTAAATATTTAGTCAAAAATGTAGATTGTGACCAGAGCTGTCACAATTACCATTGCAAAGTAATTGAAGTACCAATTACTAGGCTACCAAAAAACTATGCAAATTAATAATTACTTTAGTTTTTCAAAAGTGCTTGCAATTATCAATTACTCATAAAAGGAATTGAAAATGTTCAATTATAATAATTCAATTGCTTTTGCTAGTAATTCAATTACTTTATCTGCGTCAAATACCTGTAAAGTAATTGAATTATTCCATTTAATTGAATTACCGATGAGTTATTAAATTACCGAAAAGTAATTAAAAACTTTTCATCAATCAATTAAATAAAAGCCTATGTTAATCTTAAGAATATTATATTACAAAAACAATGATGGTTTACAACAGCGTAATTTCTTAATCAATTATTTAAAAAAAAAACGTCTTTTACATATTTAATGGAGTTTGCCTCTATAAGTACCAGTTGCTCGAAGTTTAGATTAGATAAAGTATTACAGGAATACTGATTTTGCAGACGAAATAAAATAGAGTAGAAAAATAATCGTGACGTTGACTTCAAACAATTTTTATTGACTGTTTATATAACATCAAGTATACATATTAATAAATATAACTACACAAGTACACAAAATACATAAAGACCTACTGAAACCTAGGTTTTTTCAATAAGCATGTCTCCATGGAGCATTAATGATTTCTGCACCGAGGCCGATGAAGGAAGGCAATTGGTGAATTTAAAAAATTAATATCTCATGACAGAGTAATTATTTCAAGCAGTAATTTCTGCGTTTGGATCCTTAAGGTATGGCAAAATTTCCAATTCAACTTTTTTCTTATTACTGCTAGGTTTCGTTGTTGCAGCTGGTGAATCTTCTAGTTCAAAGAAATCTTCTAAATTTGTTTGATTGGTCTCTTCTTGAAGCGTGTTTTCCGTATAACTTTTCCTTTGGTGCTGCTCTAGAGCGATCCAAAAATAAACATTGCCCAATAACGTCCACAAAGACTTCAGAAAACTCAAAAAGTGCAGTGGAAACCGCACGTCGATATCTTTTTAATCTAATATAGTTATAAAGTTGCTACAAAGTGTTACTTTATAGTAGGACACCTTGTATGCGAGGATACTTGATTTTGGTGTATGTATTTTAAATGTTTGCTGAAATAATCCTAGTAATTTAAACTCGTATGTTTTTAATAACTTATTCCTCCATGTAAAATCATTATTTCCTTGTACGCTCATGAACGGTAGCCGCTTTACAAATGATTCACCAAAATGCATGTTAGGACAATTTCACCAGCAAGTCTCGCATAATTTCTGCTAGGAGGCGCTAGCTGACGGATGAATTGATTGCATTTTTTAATTTTACATCTAGAAATCATAATATTAATTTCATCGATATTCTATTAATCCAGTTTATCCTAATACAACCTTTAAAGTTGAGAAAAGTTGTTCTGGCTTCTGGGAATATAACTTGTAATATGACGTGATTCATTTTATTTTCATGAATATTTACGAATGTTTTAAAGCAATATTTGCATTGTTGCTCCTAAAAGGATAATAACTTTTCTTTACTTTGAATTTCATCAATTTTCCAAGACTTAGCGCAACTAATTTCGAATAGTTTAATTAAAATGACGTACTGATTTATTATTTTCATACGGTACATTAAAAAGACCTGCTACAACCCAACCCAATTTTGTAATTTGAAGAAATGGTAAATTTTTTCCGTAGCAATTTTTTCAAATTCTATTTGGCTTCAAAATACCTCAACACCTAACATATCAACTGCAGATGAAACGTGAAATATTGGATCAGCTAATGTGGTCTAATATTTTTAATAGGATTTGTTAGGGTAAATAACTAGTAATACTAGTAGAAACAATAAATTCATAATCGCTATAGGCAGTAATTTTAATTCGCAATTATATAGCGCATAAAATAACGATTGATTTACACCGTTTATAGCTTTTTGTAAATTTAATTTAGCACATAGATATGTTCTACAAAACTTGGCTGAGAGCCACAATCAAGTAAAGCACGTGCTGTAAAGTTTGAATTTGAGACGCCTATGACAGTAGAAAGAATAATAAAATTGCACTTCGATTTGTAACGTCATTTTTAGAAGCTGTCTCAAACTTCAAACTTCTTTCATAATTTTGTCTAGAATACCTTTTTTGAACCCTTGTAGTGGATTTTATTTTTTGCACTAGGTGTAAGTTTTCTGCACTAATCAAATACTTGACAGTAGCACACGTGTAGCATATACTCTTGACAAGTATGACATTTCAAATACAGTGTCGAGTGTGACACCAGTGCAATAAATAAAATCCACTATTAGTAAACATTTCAGTATTCATGATGTCATGATATTCACATTTCTTTGATTTTGAAGAAAAAATTAATTCTGCATCAGAAATTATGCAATTCTCGTTACCTGCATGGACAATTATGTGCATTTTTTCTCACTTGCAGTCATGTTTTATTGATTTTATATTTGTATTCCGGCAGATTCTTTTTTGTAGATCCCTTCGAAAAAATCAAGGACTCATCTAAATATACAAACAAAGAACAACTTTTTTAGAATCCCTTAAGACCACTGTTGATTTCTCACATTACGATTGGTTTTTTTTTTTTTTTTTTTTAATTTAAATCCGATATATTTTAAAGTTTCTCTGGTTCTTTCTATATTTACAACTCCTCTATTTTTAATTTTTTTTTTTTCGGAATTTCATTCCTTTTGGAAGGTCCCCAATTTTTTTATGTTCTGTTTTGTTACGTTCTGGTTTTTCAGTACCTTCTGAAGTGTTGACTTGCTAAGTACCAAGTGCTGTCCCATAGCTCTTTCGTGTTACTGAAACATTTGTATTAAAGGTCCACCATGATTTTTTCGGTAAGAAAATAAAAACATTTTTAATAATTTTGACAAGTTTGACTTTTCTATAGAACTAGTCGAATTTAAAATTGCCCTAAACTTATTAACCTATAATATTTTCTCTCTTTCTGCTTTTTTAAATGTAAACTAAATGAATGGACTGTACATTTTCCATTCGTTAAGAGACCGTACATCGAGTTTCTTAACAATTGTGTTAATTATTAATTAATTCCAGTTGTTATTAATTAATCCCAGTTGTCAGTAGGCTCCCCTAACTATTTTAGACGTTCCAGATTATTGCTTATATCAGCAAGATCAGATAGTCTAGAAGAGTTTGTCAAACCTGAGAGTTATATTCAATCCAATATGTACATGAGCCAGCAAATTGAGATAACATTATCGTAGGAAGTTAAATATCTGGACATCTGGTCTCATTTAATGTTTTCCTTAATAGATAAACAATTTAATTGTTTTTTAATTGTTGTCATTATTATTTTTGTTTTAGACGTGATTGGTTTTATAATTGTTCTTCAAATTCATCAAAAATTAACTTGTTGTTCCCTTTTTAATACATTGTGACAGGCTTCTGGCTTTACCTGCTCTGAAATAGGAAGTCGTGGTTGGCGCTAGGTGGTTTTACTGTTTCTATCTATCTATCTATCTATCTATCTATCTATCTATCTATCTATCTGAATTAGGGCGTGGTTCAAAGCCCACTTGTACTGAAGCTCTAGGCTTATTGTACCCCTCACAGTTTCTATGCCATCAGATTGATTTTCTTGATGAATTCAAGAATATTGTACCCCGAAGTACCATTCCCGTTCCCATTTAAGGTTCCGGCAGTGGCATAGTATGTGAATAGGAGTTAGTTTTACTGTTTACTAGCCGAAAAATAAAAAACGCGCTTTTGATACCTACTACCTAGATAATTTACATGAAATTTAATGTTTAAATCCAAATTCGAAGGAAGTTCTAAGAACCAAAAATACGGGAGCTGTTCGGAACGTTCCCAGACGAAAATTAATTAAAATATACATTTTTAAAATTAATTAAAAATAAAATTTAGTCATCTACATCTACACAATCATTTCATTTTTAAAACATCGAAAGTATCAAACAACGTCTCAATTCTATAAAGTCACGGTTCCGTTTCTTTTACATCTTCTGCATCTTTATCCAAAATACCCGAATCTTTGACATTTGTGTCAGTTGATTTGAAAAACTTGTATTTTAGATCTTTTCCTTAATAATTTTGCAACCTCAATCATTATTTAAGAGCATTTACCAACTTAATAGATAATTAAGGATTATCTGAAAATTAAATTAGTAAAATCTTTGACTGTTTCGCTTCACCTCCGACGTATATTTCTTTTTCGTATCCGTCTCGAAAGACCAAATGGAATGGATTGATAGTTTGGATTTTAGAAAGTCGTTTATCCGAAATTACATTAAATAATAATGTTATGTCACATATGTTTCCATGAAACTAAACACTAAATTATATAGTATGTAAAAACTGACGTGATGTTTCACAAATGACCGATTGTGTTATTATTTCTAAGTGTAATGAAATTATCTTTTGTTTCAGCTTAGCGCAGTCCGTACGCCTGATGATGGCCAGCGCCATTTTCTTGTCGTACAGCCTCCAGTTCTACGTCCCTTTCAACATAATGTGGCCGTCGATAAGTAAAAACTTCGAAAGCGAAAAATCCAAAGAAATCGCAGAGTACATTACCAGAGCAGTATTAGTGTTCATCACTTTCATATTCGCCATTGCGATTCCGAACCTCGGCGCCGTCATATCTCTGGTCGGCGCGTTCAGCAGTTCGGCGCTCGCGCTGATCTTTCCGCCGTTCATCGAGATCATAACCTTCTGGCCCGATAAGCTGGGCACCAGCAAATGGGTGCTATGGAAGGATATAGTCATTATTATGTTCGGCTTCGTCGGTTTCGCTGTAGGCTCTTACGTCAGTTTATTGAATATCCTTTCTCCGGACGAGCAAATGTAAGGTGGGCTTTTCTCTTTTCTAGTCAATGTCAGTATGACAATATTTTTTGACAATAACGTTTTATTGTAGTTTCAGAGAGATTATTTAGGTATAAGGCTAGATACGTTCGAGAGTTGCTATGTAACTCTGTAAATCTACAGGAAAATTTAGATGTGTAGGTCTTTTGAAGTGACTTTTGTCATGGAAAGTCTAGTCTTTTCTTAGTTGTATACCATTTCGACTGCAAATTTTTAGATCTGAAACCTCTAGTTCTGTGATCCAGTCTGTTTCCCTAAATTAAAAAAAAATGATTACATTGTATATTTTCTAAGATTTACTAAATTAAGATGGTATTATATTCTACGTTTAAAAATTCTAGTCAGTTGTCAGAATATAGTCAGTTTCCCCAAAAAATTACATCAAATCCACCAGATTTGACCTCTTATGAATTTCAAAAAAAATATATTAAGAGCAAAAATGTTATGAGGATTTTCTAATATAAAATTTCATTTATATGTGCGCCACTGGGAGTATTTCGCGATGTTATATGTCTCGAGAATATTGAGAGCTTTAAATGTGTGCAACGATAATGCAGCAATTTACAGAAACATTTAAAAAAACTACTAGTTATTTATTAAAACAAAAAGCAGCAAATGCTCATAGATTTAATACAGAATGACGCGTAAATGTTTTTTGTAAATTCCTTTTAATAACTACATAATTCAATACTTTTCGAAGGTTTACAAAAAACTGCACCTCAATATCAGTACATTTTTATGAAAGTATGTGTTCTTTATTTTTTTATTAATTTTTTTATTCAACTCCTACATACTAACATAATATCAGTTTCTATTAAAATGTAACAACCAACGGATCTCTTATTATTTTTTAACTAATTTAAATCACTGTCACCAATATACTGTTAAGCGAGTCCTATAGTCTTGAAGGAACATCCATTCACCCTTAAAAAAAAATAAAACAAAAAAATCCCTTAATAGTATAGTCAAGCTGTTTTGACAACTGGTTAAAGAATCTGATAGTCCTTAGGGGTAGGAATGCCGAGGCTTCACAAATGCTCGAAATATTTTCATAAATGGTGTTTGAAGGGGGGCAGAGAATCGTAATAAATGAATAAACAGTAGCAGTATTAAAAAATTACAAAATACAATAGTTCCAAGATAAATAAACAATTTTAACTTAGGCACTAAGTAAACATAACCTGCTATAATTTAGGCACTATTTGATAATATATGTCCAAATTTTTTGATAACGACTTAAATGGCAATTAGACGTAACAAACCACCCATGACATGTATTGAACTTCCTATTAGGATTAGACTTATTAACAATTATAGCATTATAGCACATGCAACATAATAAATCGTCTTAAAAAATAAACAACAGATTAAACGATCATGTTAAATTATTTTAATATCTTTTACTTTACAAATTTAGGTGACTTCGGGATACAGGGTCCCGAGGGCAGAGTCACTACTAGAGCGGCTTAATGATTGGGGTTTCGGTCATAGCTTTAGCTCAAGTCTCACTCTCCTTTTTATCGACTGTCGACTATATTTAAATCAAAAACTATGTGATAAGTTTATTATTAGTTTTAAGAACCTAAACGTATTACCTTTGAATATTTATTTGGTTCAATGTAAGTCATTGTAGGGTGTAATAACAATGTTTGATTGCTTTTTAGTACGTTGCATTCAGTTTTATTTATATTTAAACATTTATAACTTTTAGAATTGTGTATTATTTAGATTTTTATTAATAATAATACCAATTATTACAAAAGCTGCTACTCAAATTAATTTCTTTTTGTAACCACTGTTTTTTTTTTACAATTTAAGTGATTAAAAAGGGTCGTGGATGGGGCACAAGGATATAATAACTCAATTTCCATGAAATTAGGAAATGGACGCCACCGTATTTAAATTCGCATATCTTTACGTATAAAAGTAATTAATAAAAATACGAAAACAATAATTATTATTAAATTTAAATGAAGAATAAAGGATATGTCTTCAGTAGATACGGGAAAACCAAATCCTAATCTATAAGAGTTTTTAATAATAAAATGACTTTTAAAGTTATCTATTTTGAAATAGTATTCGGTACAATATAAATTGACTTATGACAATGAGGTAGGACTTCACTACCTTGACCTAACCCAACAAACATTTTGTGTAGGGGAATTAAAGACCCAATAACTGTCACCCTCCAATTACATTGATGGCCATTTGACTTTTTTAATTAAAAGGCCGGCATACATAGGTCACTACGGCCGACAGTCGGGCCGAAGTCATTTTGCCATCATAACCAATTAATGGGCCTTCATTTCCCCTTTAATGTCTAGAAATAAATATATTGGCAATTAATGGCCTATTGATGGGAAATTTACAGGAAATTGCTGGCCTTTACCATATTAATAAAGGCCATGTGTCAGGCACATGATCAGAACACAGGATATTCGATAGTGCCTCTTAGACCAGTAGTAGTACCGTTTGAACTATAAATTCTATACAAAAACAAGGCATTTCAATATAGAATATTGTAGACATTTTAATTCTGCTATATAATATAATAATACAGAAAAAATGTGTTCTTCAAAAAATTATTAATAAAATATTCTAAATTAACATGTAAAAGTAAAATATTTCAATGAATACTGAATGTCAGAATGCGAGATGTCCATTCGTTGAGTATGTAACAAGCGATCATCGGTGTCTCCATCTGTGAACGCGGGACGGAGCCCTCCTGGACTGTTGGAGTTGGGTCTGCGGCAGTTAAAAGCCTTTTGACTTTTACCATGGTTTTACCCAATACAGTTACTTACCCTTCATAAGGCCATCATCAAGCAACATAATGCTGGGCTATCGAAAGGCCAAAAGTTGGCTTTTATCTTTTTATCGTCGCATTCATTTTCCCTTCAACTACAGCAAAAGGCCAGCAATATCCCGGCAATTTATTGTTTGTTGGGAAGGGTTCCTTCGATGACCATAAAATACAATTTGCTCTTAGAGGTCTTAAAGCACAATGACTTCTCAAGACTCGACTATATTCCACCCTTAGACGGCCTTACTGCTCATCATCAAAATTGCTTTGTTGTTTTCTTTTTCATTTTTGTCAAAGTGTCGATGTTTTCTTGAAATGGCTGTCAAAAATTTGACATGTCATATAAAGTTTGATGAAAAAAAAAAACATTAATTTAAATACTATTTCTTACAACGTCTCTTGCCTATAATACTGTATTACTTTTCAACGCAACATTGTAAACGATTATAATTAATAGTGGTAATATTTATCTTACCAGAAATTTGTTTGGATCTAACTAAGTAGCTTTCTTATCTAAAAATACGAAAATTTCCCCCCTGCTTAAATAAATAAAAAGTATTTATTGGATAATTAAGCAAAAACCAGACTGGAAAACAGCAAGGAGTATTAGATCTAAAAATAGCGGTATTACAGATGTTTAATAACTGGTTCAAAACCATTCTTAAATTAGGGCTGTTGGTTAAATATTATTCATACGTTTAAATTTTATTCTTAATAAATAAGAAAAATATCTCTTTTATTTATTAAGGATCTACATACAAATAAAACTGAAAAATGTACTAAACTTGACATATTTTCTGGTGAAAATGTTTATATTTTTTACAAAATTTTATTTTTCACTGGACCCTTTTACCCCTATGGGGTGTGGGTTGTGATGTTTTTACTTTAATATCTAAATTCTCTAGTTTTTTCGATCCTTTGCCAGTTTTGTCATTTTAGTTTTGTTTCTCTTTTCCTTACTGATTCTTCTATTCTGCGTTCCTGTTTTCTCATCTTGCTTCCGTTGGCTGACCTCTGGAGTGCGTTTAAAAACCACGCACGGCGCGTCTAGACCCTATTCTAATGTATGTGGTTAGCCGCGCCGTGCGAGGTTTCTAAATGCACTCCTGCTGTTACCGCTTTTTGACTATGGAATAATAATAATATGAAGAAAGCAGCCATCTTTGAGAAGCGGCTCTCCAAAACTCCTCGTAATGTTTACATATTTGTTTAAATATCAGTCTCATATAACATGATCAATTTGGTAACAGAAATTTGCTTCTCCGGAAAAACAATGACGCAATTGTTAATTAGGATAAGTCCGTGGCGGCTCGAGGCTCAGTCTACGAGGAGGCTACTTTTGAAAGGCACTTGTATAAAATTTATCAAAACTTAACATAGTAATTTAGGTGAGCCTATAGGTAGTAATCCTAATTTTGCACGCTTTTTATTTATCCTGACCTAAGTACTTAAAGTCTACCACTTGTCGTCAAAATTGTCCTACAAGTAATAGTTTTGTCGTAATTATCGTCTAGTTCGTTAAATCACTTGTCTAATTGGTTAATCCGAATATCCACTTGTTTTTTATTATACACTTGCCTTGAAAATCATCTTGTATGTAAACTTTTGTCTGCTAGAGTAATTTTTTAATCGAGAGTAGGCCTTCCCAAAGATTTTATATGGCATTTTCATCCAGCAAGTCTTGAAATATTAGATTTTAAAATATTATTCAATGCAAAACAAAAAGCATCCGATTGTCGATCTCCAATTATCCGAAATAATCCGAAATTTTTCAACTTTTAATCAGACAGAGTGTTTACTCATATACTCTGTCGGGAATATCCATATTGCTTTCAGGAAATGCTCTAATTCGATTATGCTACACATAAATATCGCCTTGTTGTTGGCAATTCTATCTATACAAGTCCTTTAATAGTAGTTTAACACTGCTGTAGATAAAATAATTTTTTAAATAGAAAATATATTTATTTGTCTTTAAATAATTTTAGTTTCTCATACATTCATAGTAAAACATTGAATTATCCGAAAAATTACTTAATCCGGACAGTGTTGGCTAAGATAATAAACAGATTAACTGTATACACAGGAGGAAGGTAGACATTTTCGTAGTCCTCTTGCAAGTAAAAATTCCGTATCCAAGACTTACGAGCACGAGCGACATCGCCCGATTTGACCGCCGGTATAAGTGAATTCAAGACTACAATTTTTAGCCTTGCTAACCAATATTAGCGGAAAATATATTGAACTCCATATTATCATTGGAACAAGTAATACAAAAGGAGCCGTATGAAAGTTATAAATAGACGTGAAAATATACTATTTTTTTTAATTAAAAATAGTACGGGTAGATACTAAACTTTCATTTTATATTTTTTTTATAAATTGGTTTCCCTTTCTACTGGGGGGTGTAGCTCTACAGCTCTTACACTTTACAGACAAGCCACCACTGGTATAATTATAAAGAAAATTACATTTTTCCAAAAGTACCTACCATCTAAAACTGGAATAAATTGGCCACATCAATGATTTCCAAACAGTTCCTTAACGTCTCGGTTGTAATTTTCATATTACTTTTTCTACATTTTTGCGTAATCATTAATTTTCACTTGTCATTGTTCTTCTGGTGAAGCGAATATTGTCGAGTGCGAGCTACGAGGAAGTAAAGCCCGGACAAACCCATCAAGCAATTGATTGTTCACACCAACTCATACTCTTAACACACTGGCTGAGTTGGTGATAACGAAAATACAATATCTGGAGCCATATAAGACTTTGACTGGACAATTTCTTCATAATTGGCGAGAACAGTATGTCCACAAGCTTTTCTTTACAAGCAGAGCTGGCCAATTTTCAAAATAAATAATCGATTATTTTATATTAATCGATTATTTTCGCTTAATCGATTTTTTAAAAACATCAGTCAACGTTAGTACATTAATATACAAAAATTGACAGATTTCTATTAGAGTTCAGAGTATCCCGTGCTTTCCCTACTGTACCAGCAAGAAAGTAATCTTTTTCGTCTGTTTAAACAGAAAAAAGTGTAGTGTAGACTTTTAAGTGTAAAACTATATTTATATACAAAATATTGTTTTCGATTATTTGATTAATCAAGAGATCAATTATTTTCCATAAATCAGTAATTTTCGTATAATCAATTATTTCCGATTAATCGCTAAACTATTTCCGTATAATCGGACAATCGATATTATTTGATTTGTATTCGACTGTTATTAATTTATCGATTATTAGTAAATATAATTCAATTACATATCAATAAGAGAGTTAAATGTGACGTTTATAATATCTAATTATCGATAGAACTGGGCGATTGTAAAAATAAATAATCGATTATCCTTTATTTATAATAATCGATTATTTTCGATTAATCGATTTTTCTAAAAACCTCAATCGACTAATCGATTATTTGTCCACCTCTAGTATTGACCTCAAGAAACGTTTGTACATTAATAAACAAAAATTGACAGATTTCAATTATCACAGTTTAGAGTTGCCAAAGCTTTCCGTACTGTCCCAGCAAGAAAGTAATCTTTTTCCTCTGTTTAATCAGAAAATAGTGTAAATGTAGACATTTAAGTGTAAAACTATATTTATATACAAAAGATCTGTCAGTCATTTTGTTTGACAGCACAGTGTCCTCAAGTAGTCACAATAGTGCATAATCAACAATCCTAATTTATGTTTAGGATCACAAACATTTATTTTTCGATTTTTTTTTAATCCATATTGTATAAAGAGGAAAGCAAATCTTTTGATTAGAATTTTTTTTCCAGTTGTTGAAAAACGGTAAACCAAGTCAAAACTGTCAGTTAAAATGGATAATATACAAATATTGAACCAGAGTATATTTATATAAATAGATGTATGCTTTTTGTGATAATTACCCTATAGCTCTTATAATTTGTGATAAATCAGGTAACTGTCATATCAACATTCCAAACAAATATTGTATATAAAACGGAGATTTTAAGGGTAGTTTTAATATATTTTAAAATGGCAAGCAGAACAGATTATATATATGAAGTAAAAACAATATATTGTTAGTATGTAATATTTATGACAAAGAAATATATCTTCAGTGTGATCTCTGTATTTATTAACTTTTTAATGTCTTGCACTTGAATATACCATTCAGGCTAATCAGAATTTTAATTATCGCTATTTTTTTTATATAAAAGTTTAAACTTCTGTTAAAACGCTTTTATTGTAGATATTGTATATTTTATAAGGTATTAATAGTTTTGTATATTCTATTTTGTATTTATTTATTGTTTTGAATTTTAACGAGTTCAATAAAGACATTTGTGGTTATTTTGTTTATTTTGTTACCTGCATCAGGAATTTGTCAGCTTGTCTGCCAATCTTGTGTCAACAGATTGAAATTGCATCAGTCCTACTTAAAACGTAAAAAAAAACAAAAAGATATTTAAATAGTTTATTTAATTAAAATTAAAGGTATAACAATTACATATTTACATTTTATACCTATATAGTCGAAACAACTTAAACCCTAAAAATCAATTTTTATAAAAAATCGTAAAGTAAAAAAATAATCTCACTGCTTTTTAAAACTCTTCAAAATCGGATATATATTATCGAACGCTTCGTATATTTCTTGCCTTATTTTAGCGCCCGTCAGTACTACTTTACCAGACACGAATATTAAAAGTACAATCCTTGGTTTCACCATACGATAAATAAGTCCGGGAAACAATTCAGGTTCGTAACTACTGAAAGAACTATGAGTCAACACGAGTCCTTCCAACCTTATAGGAAACTTAACATCACAACTTCCGACCATGTTCTGTATCTTGAAATCCAAGAATTTGGCGGGGAATCCCAGTTTTTGGATGATCCGGGCGTATTTTCTAGCAGCCAGCCTGGAATCTTCTTCACTTTTTGCTCCCGTGCACACCATTTTACCCGAAGAAAAAATCAGAGCTGTTGTACGAGGCTCTCGAATCCTCATGATGACGGCAGCGAAACGTTTGGGATTATATTCCGCATTTCTTGCGTGTAGGGCAATTTTTTTCAAGTCCAATTTGCAGCTGAGGTTTACAGTTGACACGATGTTTCTGTAAAACAGTATTATTTGTTACTAAAGGGAAAAGCGTGATTGCAATAGAAGAAGTGTTGAACTGTCATACACCTTTAAATATATGAATTTTCTACATATTAACCCTATAATGGATGTTGGTACATATATGTACCATATGTTATTATGGATCATCTGCCTGCTGTATTTGACAAAAATGTCCATTTTGATCAAGGTTGCATTCTGAAGTAAAAATTATTACCAACATATCACTTAGCGCCATCTGATAATCAATATTTCAACTAATTGTCAAAATGTGGTACATATTTGTACCATATTTTTACACTATAATAGGTGAAAAACTATTAGGCATTAAAGGAATTGAAAATTCCAGTGAAATTATTAATTAACCTAATAAAAATGACAGTTTCCAATACAAAAATCCCTCAAACCAATTTCTAACAAAATGAGGTCTAAGGCAAGGAGACACAATAATGACAGACTTATTCAACCTAGTACTGGGACAAATAATAAGCAGTTCATTGTATACGCTGACGATATCGTACTCCCGACAAGATCAAGAAAGCAGTTGAGAATTATATTTAGAAGATCGGAAGAGGAAGCAAGAAAATGTGGGCTACTAATAAAAGAAGACGAAACCAAATGAACCATAAGAGTATTATATTACAAACACAAGATAGATAATACACATTTTAAAAGATAAAAGAGTTTGAGTATTTAGGAGTAACCATTACAAATAAAAACCTCGAAAAACATGATATAGACAAAAAACTATGAAATCTTGCATGTCAAAGAAATTAGAAGAAAAGCAAAAAATTCGAATTTACAACAAACGTGGACCATGATAGAAAGAAAAACAGCTTGAAATCTGGAAGAGAAAAGTATTTAGAAATTTTTTTGGAGAAATTAAAAGAAATTGAGAAGACATATAATTAAAAAATTAAGAATCTGTATGAAAGACCGAAAACCATAAAAGATGTATAGTCCGTTGCAATTTATAGTGGAAAATAGTCTCGCTTTAAACATGAAAGAAGTTGTGTATTAGCCGGAACAGGGACTGTGCTCCCAAATGGACTTTAAAAATTAATGTTTTCTGTTTGGGGAACAATTATGATAATATTAATATTTCGTAAGAATGTGAGATTTTTTAGTTTTCCTAAAGACCCTAACCTTAGCAACAAGTGGTTGCATCTTAGCAAAGATAAACTTAATATAAAAACCTTTCCCGCAAGATTCGTGCCAAAAATCCCAGAGACCAATTTTACAGCAAAAGTAACGCGTAAAAGATACATGAATTTAGTCATTTTATATTTTTTAATATTTTTCTTATCCGAATCTTAATATCTTTTGTAGTAAACATTTTGTTGTAGCCGATGTAATAAATACGTTACAGAGAAAATAAGCACTCCCCTCACCCTAATGAGAGTCAGGCTATGACTGACGTCATACGCATGACAGATGAAAACTGAACACGGGAGCATCCGGCCTTGGGTAGTATTGGTGTGGAATTTACCTAATCACTTTAGTTTAGCTTCAAAGTTTATGCGATTTGATCGAGATTTCGAAACTATCTAGTTTAAAGTAAGTTGTGAAAATGTGTGAGGTAGTTAATGTTCAACAGTGTTCTTCCGAAATAAATTTGGACAAACAGGAAAACAGAAGCTTTAGCAATTTCTAATTATGACCTATAATTAGGAATTAGTCAAATGCAGACCGATGAAATGGAATAAGACTTATAAAAAGATATATGACTCTGACAAAAACGTCTGACAAATCTATTTTTTTTATTCTCTCTATCAAACATATTACAAAATTCATGGCAACAACAACATTACAAAATTCATGGCAACAACAACAATACAAAATACAACAATATTTAACATACTCCCACCAAACAAACATTAAAACCTGGTAGGTTTTTTACTCTTCCTTCCATATCTTGTAAAAACATCTGTTGTAGTTTGTGATGGCTTTTCTTCTGTCCTCTTTTTTCTTGCGACTTCTTGTATTTGCGATTTATTCTCATTTTCATCCATCTCTAACCTGAATATTCTCTGTATGGGTCTAATTACGTATCCGTCTTTAGTTTTTAATCCAACTACTCTAACGTTTCCATCTTTTCCAAGAAAAACCTGTTCTACCAAGGCTAGTGGCCAGTCTAATCTTTTGGAACCCTCAGTTTCTAAAAAAACTAAGTCACCTACCTTTACGTTATCGAAATGTTGTTTCCGTTTTCTAAGAATCAGTTGACTGATATATTCCTGCCTAAATCTTTTTTTTAAATCCTCTCTCAGTTTCAATCTGTACCTACATCTTCTTCTAAGATACACTGAATCTATCTTATCTAAGTCCGGAACACCAGTTTGGATTATCTCTTGCAAGAAGAACGAAGGCGTTATCGGAACTAAATCAGAAGAGTCCTCTGACAAATAGGTCAACGGTCGGGAATTCACCACAGATTCACAATCACACAATACAGAATAAAATTCTTCATAAGTTAAACAGGCTTTACCTAGTACTTTACGAAGCAATTGTTTAATAATCCTTATCAATCGCTCCCACCAGCCACCCCACCAGGGTGCACTGACTACATTGAGCTTCCAAGACATTTGATGAATACCTAAAGAGTTTATAATTTGTTCCCAGTCTAAAGATTCTAATGCATTTTTAGCACCTACAAAATTAGTTCCATTATCAGAATATACAATAGAAGGTCGACCTCTTCTAGCGATAAAGCGACGGAAAGCCAAAAGAAAACTATCTGTTGAAAGGTTCGACACAATTTCCAAATGAATTGCTCTATAAATAGCACAGGTGAAGATACAAACCCAGACTTTTTCCCTATTTTTTAAAAACATATGTCCAAAAAGATCAATCCCTATCACCTCAAAAACTGCGGCATCCTTTACTCTATTTCTGGGCAGGGTAACAGGAATTGCTTCGCATGGCCTTGACTCGTGTCTACGACAAACTACACATTTACGAATCACAGATTTTACCGTTTTCCTTCCTCCGATTATCCAAAATTTTTCTCTTAAATTTGACAACAGAATTTGAACGCCAGCATGACATGAACCAACATGTGTGTCAAATATGAGTCGAAAAGTTAAAGGATGTTTCGCAGGTAGAATAATAGGATATCTAAATTCAAATAGATCGTCTCTCTCAGTTATCTTTGTCTTAACTCTCAGTATACCATCTTCATCTCGAATCAGGGCCAGACTACCAATATCTTCTTCATTGTGGAAACACTCTTGTTGAATAGATTTAATTAAAGTCAATTCTGCATGTTCCATTTCTGTTGACAAAAGATATTTGGAGTCACGTTTCCCTTGATGTTTTAGATTAAAAATGAAGCGGAATACCCATGCTACTAAACGGATAATTTTATTGTATTTACTAAAATAGTTAAAACACCAAGACATATCAATCTTAGGTTGAACCAATAGAGAAGTTACTACCTTTCTACATTCTGCTTGTACAAGATGTTCTTCTACTACGAACTGTTGTGAAGGCCATTTTAAACGATCTTCATACAACCAGCCAGGTCCCTCCCACCACTTTGAAAGTAGCAACTGTGTTGCTGAACATCCCCTCGTTATTAAATCTGCAGGATTCAATGTACTGGGGACATGATACCAGGAATCCTTATTGGTTAACTTTCGTATTTCCTGTACTCGATTATGTACAAAAGGTTTCCATTTATTGGTATCATTTATCCAAGCCAACACTGTCGAGGAATCGGTCCAGAAATATGATTCTATTGTTTTATTTAAATCGTTTACAATAGATGACCATAATCTTGATGCTATAGTAGCCCCTAACAACTCAAGACGTGGTATAGAATTGTTCTTCTTAAGAGGAGTAAGTCTTGATTTTGATTGTACGAATCGAACAGTTACGTCAACATCGGACTCTACCCTTAAAAAGACGACACATGAATAAGCATCTTTACTAGCATCGCAGAAAACGTGAAGACTAAGATTCTTTAATTTAACATATTCATGACTAAGCCACCTAGGAATAATGACATTAGCTAAGTCAGATAGCTGCTTAAGCCATTTTAAAAATGTAGCTTTCATATCTTCATGAACCTCTTCGTCCCAACCTATTTTCATGACCCATGTCTTTTGTAACAATAGTTTTGGGATTTAAAGTACTGGTACGGTGAATCCTAAAGGATCAAAAACTTTATTTACGATGGATAATATGTATCTCTTTGTAATTAAATCCTGACTCAAAATTTGATCATCCCTTAAACATATACTTAATGTATCATAAAATCTATCCCATTCAAGTCCCAATATCGGAGTTGATTTAATTGGCTTGGGACTAATATCATCCAGGATAGTGTATTCCCAAAGTCGAAGATCAAATTTGGCATCTTCCATTACCTCTTGAGACTCTTTAATGAAGTTTCGCAGTTCTTTTTCAGAATCAACACTAGTAACACAATTATCTACATAAAAACTGCGTAATAACTTAGAAATTGTGTTACTATATCTATTTTCTTTAAGAACTGATTCTAAATGATACTTTATTACTGCTCCTAAGAGGAAAGGACTACATGTGAGACCAAAAACAACCCTTTTATGTCTATAATGGACAAGATCTCTGCTTTTATTATACCAAACAAACCTCAAAAAATCAAAATCTCTTTTCTGTAGTTGTATCTGCAGAAATGCTTTTGCAATATCAGATGTTACGCCAATTTTAGACCATCTAAAATTTAATAATATAGATGGTATTAATTTTATCAAATTTGTTCCCTTTTCTAAACAATTATTTAGGGATGGGTAATTCTTTTGCTTTGCCGAAGCATCAAAAACTGGACGTAACTTTGTAGTTAAACTGCTAAGCCTAACTACATGTCTATGGGGCAAATAATGAGTATGAATCTCACCTAATTCTTCAAACGGTACCTCCTCTATTATTCCTAATTTCAACCATTCTTCAAAAACTGAATTGTACTCATTATAGTAGCCGTCTTTATCTAACTTTTTTATGAGAGCATTCAAT